ACAGCTAGCACTGTATTACACAGCTAGCACTGTATTACACAGCTAGCGTCTTCAGCAGATGACAGGTGTTCTTAGGGTTGGAGCTTGATTTCCTGACCAGTTTTCCCTGAAGAGAATTTACAACATAATATTTGTTTAGGATTAGATCCATCTGTATACACTCTTAACAGGTAGTGCTGTTACCATGAATTTACTCACGAAAAAAAAAAATGCCCAAAGTTGTTTTCTTGGAATACCACACTTTATGTGAGTTTTAAAAGGTGTTTCTTGCAAAGCCACTTCTCTCGTCACAGCAGTAGACTTCTGGTAGTGAATTAAGAGGTCTAGGATTTGATGAAAGTATGCCTATTTTCTGATCCAAACCTGGAATGTAAAAGAAATTAGTGATTTTTGGGAGGCTACCTACTCTGACATTTTAACACACCATCTTTTTAGCAACTGTGTACAGTACAGAAGTAACTGAAGACATTTAAAGGGATGTAATTAAAATGTGAGTGCCAGTGAAATGGTCAGTGGGGGAAGAAGGCACTTCTGGCCAAATCTGAGAAATGGGGTTCAATCCTCTGGCTCTGGATAGTGCAAGGAGAAAAACAACTCCCACCTCTGTGACCTCTGCATGCTCGTGTGTAAGCACACATATAACATAAGAATGTAACTAAAATATCTTCAAGTAAAATATAGAAAGGGGGATGGGACCCAAGGTTCTTTCTTTAGTCTCTAATTAATAGGCATATTGTTAGATTATATAAAAATGTAAGAAAAACTCATTTGATGTTTTGTTTTGGTGTCCTGATGTTGCTGTCAGCTATCCTCTGAGAGCCTGGGTTTTCAGCGTGGACCTCTTTCCTACTGTCTCTGGCATCCCTCCAGACTGCAGCTGTCTTCGCTGGAGATAAGAGATGAAATCCTTCCCGACCCCGCCATTCTAAAACTTATTTTGTAGCCCAGGTTGACTTTGAACTTTTAGTCCCCAAGCTTCAGCCTCCAGAATAGCTGGAATTGCAGGCTTATATCACCAGTTTTCCGTTTTTTAGTAAAAAGAAAGGGACTCTTAAGGAAAACTATTGAACAGTTAGTAGTGCAGAGACAGTATAACTTCAAGGCAAGTGATGTTGAAGAGCAGTGGGTCTGGGTGTATGTAAATCCTGCCCCTTTCCTCCCTCTGTGTGATTTAGGCTTAGTTCATGAGAGATCCTCTATTTAGAACAGCACTCACCCCAGAGAGATGCCTAAGGACTAAATATGTGCCTGCCACAGTGTGAGACCCCCCCAAAATTTGAGGAATCTCTCATTTAGAAATTCTCAGTAATTCGTACTCAGTAAGCCAAAGTCAGAAGCACCAATAGGGGGGTGTCATGGGAATGTCAGGATCACCTGTCCACCTCAGGGCCTTGCACGGGCCACAGCGTATCGATACACTACAAGGGGAGCCTAGAATTTCTGAGTTGTGGTGTGAATGAGCAATTGTTACAGACATTTAAGCTAGAATGAAAAGAACCTCGCAGAACACCAGGTTACATTCAAGATTTTGTTCCCAGTGTTCAGAGAATCAGCTTCCTAGAAGGACATTAAAGAGTTTTCACCCCTTTTCAGTCTTGGATGCAGGGAGCTTCTTTCTGCTCCCCGATCTGTCTGCACATCCATTTCTGTCCCCAGTTTCACTGGTCCCAGTCATGCCCCTTGTGGCAGTAAATCCCCAGGGTATGCTGACCTTGCCACACTGGCAAGGTTATTCTCAACGAGTTGATAGTACTTACCAATCTCATAAAATGGCAGGGAGTAGTCTCTTTGGTAAGTTGTTTCATTATACCACGTGCCTGTAGGCCTTGACAATTTTCCAAAACAAATGTATCGAATGAGTGTTTGCTGGTCTAATTGAGGCTGGTACGGAGTTTTGCTCTTGGGTGGAATTGCCAAGTCTATAAGGGGTCTACATGGAAACAAAAACAGCTTGCTGAACACCTTTAAAGAATTCGTCCATTTTCTCATGAGCTGCAATCTAGGATCCAGTGCAGTCTTTTAGCTAGACTAACCCCTAGTGCCATCTGGGTGTTCTGTAGAACTGTTGTAACCTTCCTGGGCCCCTCTCTAACCATCATCTTCATCAATCCTGGCAGTGTTCATTCACTGGCATGGCATGCTTGAGGCACGGATATAAGTACACTGGGACCTTAGGTGGCATGTACCTGAGACCTTGGAAATATGTGTGCATTTTGTCTCAGGAACTGTAGCAACTAAAGATGTCAACAAAGACTAAGAATGCTTATCAAGGGACTTTTGTGCCAATAGAAAGAATGGGGACACCTTCATGTTGAAAAAAGAAGAGAAGCCCTAAAGTGGTAGACATGCTCCGCCCACAAAGGTGACATGTAAAGTCAAGACGCACCTCATTGCTTCAGGATTCTTTTTTCCATCATGAGATCACTATTTTAAAAAATTCTCTCCAACAAGGCACTAAGCTACGTGTGTGTGTGTGTGTGTGTATTCCTAAGAACTACATTCTTTTCTGTGTCCATTTTGTTTTAGCTTTCTTTGCAGTGCTACAGGAGAAACCCTCGCACATGCTAGGCAAGCACTACCACATGGTTACATCCCTAGACCTTTCTCCTTGGCTGGATGCTGTGTATGAATTGGCATTGCGTTTGAAAGTTGATCTGGAGGACGCACAAGCCAATTAGAGTCAATGGACTGTTAGCAGAGTCATCCTCAGGGAGACAGACTGGAGTTTGGGCATTAGCCCTATAGGTTATGATGCTAGGGGTAGAGTGGAGGGAGGAACTGGGCTCTGTCTAGCTCTGACAGCGGGCACCTGGCCTTTCTAGTAGAGGACTTAGCTCTAAGGAAAGTTGACTAAGTCATGCGTAGTGGTGCACACCTACAGTTTGCAGCGACCCCAAGGCTGTGGTGGAAAGGTCCCTGAGCTCAGCTTGAATTTGAAACCAGCCTGGGTAATGAAATCTTCTCCCCCAGATTTTAAAAACAGAAGTTACTTAAGCAAATATTTCATTTAGTACTCAGCCTTGAACTGGAACTCAGAAACTATAGATTAAAGCATAAACCTAATATTTACAGTAATTGTGTGACCTGAGTTGAGACACATTGCTTGGGCCATGGAGATGGCTCATCAGGTAAAGGCTGGTGACCTGAGTTCGATCCTTGGGTCCCACTTGGCGAAAGAAGAAAACGAGTTCCGAAAAGTATCCCCTGATTTCCACACATGCACGGTGGCAGGAGCAGGCAGGCCCACAATAAGTAAATTTCAGAACTAAGAGTGTCTCATTCATCTGCTGTATTTCTAACTGGATCGGGAGGACCTCAAAACTGCTTCCAGTTTCATCATTTAAGTCCAGACTGTACACTGCTCTAAGCACAGGTGGCCTGCCGACTCCCACGCCTGCATGAGGATAATTGGAGGCTGGCTAGACGGGAGCTAGAACCAAGAGAAGGGAAATTGGAGTAGGTAGGAGACGATGAGCTCAAATGGCGATCATCGTGCTGAGGGCTTAACATGCCTCAGAATTTTACAGCGATTCTTTCATTTGGGAGTGAGATACTGAGAATGTGAAAATTGCCCCGAATCAAACATTTTACAAGTTTCTCAAATTGATGCCTTTACCTCTCGTAGTTTCTAGCCTTTCTGGACCAGGAAATAAGGTTCAGGTGTCTGTGGCTATTAATTTTTACTTTTCTTTTGTGAAAGGAAGGAGCCACATAAACCAGATTTAAACCTTTATTGAGAATGACACCGAATCCCAGTAAGTTTAAGATGTTTAACCAAATTTGGAATTCTAAAACTTATAATGTTTCTTAAATTCCATAGATTATTTAATAAAAATACTATTTATTGCTGACTGCAGAAGCAATGTATTCTCCTTTGAGAAAAATCTGTAAACTAGAGAAAAGGATAAAAATACAAAGTGCTAATAATATGGCTACTTGTGGAAATGAAAACAGAGCCCTATTATCAGTGCTAGCGATGTGGCTCCCTGGTGGACCATGCTCGACATACTCAAGGCTTTGGGCTTGAGTCCGGCACCCAGAATCCTCCCAGGAAACCCAAACCAAGTCCCAAGATGTTTAACAGTTTAGCCCATTTCCTTCCACTCCTTTTTTAGCCAATAGGCCAGTCACACTTGTGACTAACATTACTATTATTGGTATTGTTAAGATTGTGTAGCTACGAGCTGGAAAGGTGGATAAGCTCTTACAGAGAACCCGAGTTCCATTCCCAGAATTCCCGTGGGGCAGCTCACTTCTGACCTCCATGGGTACTTGGAATTTTATATATATATCTGTGTGTGTATGTATACATATGTATATATATATATATGTATGTATGTGTGTATGTAAAATGCCATTCAGTTTCCCTACTTTCCCTACTTGTTATTTTAGCTTTGATGACACTCTTGGAAGTAAAGAAAGATTTAGGGGTATGTCTCACCTTGGAGCCCTCTTCGCGCTGTAATCAAAATGGAGTCTTGCCAGTTGCCCAGGGTGATAGCCTCTGACGTCCCTTCCTTGGTGACAGATAAACATACTGAAGGAGGCAGGTGAGAAGTGGTCATTACAGTCAGTCTCTTACACAAGTCTACCAGCTGACATGTGACAGGGAATTCGTCTGAACTTTGTACCCTCTTCCAAGCAGCTGAAACCAGTCAGACTTTCCAGTCATGTTGGTTGGTAGTCATAGCGAGTGTCTTTTCATCAAACCTGAGTTTGTGGTATTGGATGGCCTCTCTTTCCCCAGTAACCTCTAAAACCTATAATAGGATGTCTTTTATTTCCAGGATTCCTAAGGAAATACTTAGCATGTCACGTACTGGGTCACAATAGTAAGGAAAAGAGAGAGGGTGAGGGAGGGAGAATGGGAAGGAGGATGGGAGGGAGGAAGGAAGGAAGGTGACGATGTGTAAAGTCAGCGACAAGACTGAGAGCTAGTTAGGAGTGGTTAAGAGCACTGACTGCTCTTGCAGAGGACCCAGCGCTCACATCTGACAGCTCACAACCTTCCATGACTCCAGTTCCTGGGGATCTGATGCCCTTTTCTGCCCTCTGGGGGAACCTGTCCACATACAGTACATACATATATACTCAGGAACATGCACATATAATAAATAAAATCCTCGAAGTCAATGAAGTAGATGTTGGTAATTGCCAAAGCATCGGAATAAAAGAATAAAGATTCCTTATCCTTTGAAATGGTTATAAAATTTTGTAAGGTTTTTTTTTTTTTTTTTTTTTTTTTTGCTTAACTGTACTAGTTGATTATATAAGGCTGTGATGTCAAGGCATGTGATACTAGTAAGTCTGGTAGGAGAATTCTAGCCTCACCTCAGAGATTTGGGTTATGAGGAAGGACAGGTCTGTATAACCTTGGCTGTCCCTGAACTAATCACCATCTTCACGCTTGGGTTCCTCAGTGCTGGGATTACCAGTATATGCCGCCATCTTGGTTGTTGTTTTGAAGCATAATATGAGCCACCCCATAGGGACGGGGAAGACGTGTGTCTGGGAAGTGAGCGTGAGCTATTTGTACAACTGGGATGCTGTGGTGTTGAATCCTTGGCCCCCAGGGTGGTGCTAATGGGGAGTGGTAGAACCTTTAGGAGATGGGGTTTAGGGGAGGATCTTAGGTCATTGGTAATATTGAGGCAGAAGAATAGGGTGAAGAGTGAAGTCCAAAATCCCTTACACAAAAGCTGTAAGATTCACATATAGAAGAAACCTATTGACAAGGATGGGAGGAAGAGCTATGGGACACTAAGGAGAGCCAGAGAGCCAGGTATTCAGGGTTTGCATAGGCCAAAAGGAGGAACTCTCTAGAGGGGGGAAGTCATGAATACCAAGACTAAATCACAGTTGAGTTCAGAGTAGAGGATGTGTGGATGTTTTAGCTTTTTGTTACTGTAGCACATATCAGATAAATCAGCTTAAAAGAAAGGAAGGTTATTTATGTCATGGTTTCAGTCCATGGCAACTGATTGGTCCTATTGTTTCGGTCACACAGCACATGGTGGCAGGAATGCAATCACCTAAAGGTTCCACCATCTCTCCATAGCACTATTGGCAGGAGGTCAGCCCTTCAACATACCGGCCATTGCTGGGGTCAGGGTAGGCCTAGCTGTCTGGTGAGAGTCGAGGCAAGTGCTGGGCAGGGCAGGTTCTGTCTGTCTGTGCAAACAGACCTCAGAGAGCTCTAATTTTCTGAGTAACCACAGGGTGTCTGGGCCTGTCTAGTGGCTAAGATACTAGGACTGAGCCCTGAGTTACAGCGGGGGATTAAGTCGTAAGAGGAGAGAGAAGTTGGCACAGAAATAGGGAACAAATGACGTTGCTCAGTGTGTGGGAGGTGGAGGTGCCACTTAGGCAAGCCTCCAGTTCTGAGCACTGGTGTGGAAGGGGTCCGCTAGAGCCAAGCCACAAGTTCGTGAGGGATCACAGGCACCCAGGGCATGGTTCTCATGGTTGCCCTGCTGTCTGCACTGAAGGAGTTCATCCTGCTCTCGTCATTGCTCCGAGAATGGGACCGGTCCCACTGGCCTCCAGTAGTATGACCTGCTGCAGTCCCTTGGAAGAAACCCTGGCTCGTTGGTCAGAAGTGGAGAGAGAGCAGGAAAGAGTTCTAGGGAGACAGGCTAAGTGGAGAAGTGAGGACATGGGGGTGGGAGAGAAAAAGACAACTCACTTTGCTTCTAACTTTTCTCTCTTCCTTTTGCATCTCCTGCTCTCTCACTCCCCTCTCCCACTTTGTCAGGGCTGCCTGCTGAGCCCAGGACTTTCTGCATACTAAACAAGTGTGCTGTCACCGAGCCAGAGCCCCCTTTTATTTTAATTTTTGAAACAAGGTCTTTCTGCATTTTCCATGCTGACCACAAACCCATGATCCTCCTGCCTCTGCCTCTTGAGTGCTGGAACTATAGGTGTTCTCCATCCTGCCCAACTCCCTCTGACTCTGGGGAGTTTTCTGAGTCCTCACTTGTGACCTTAACCTGGAACACGAGAAAGCTTCTAATTCATTCAACCATTAAAATAGTGAGGTTTTTGTTTTTTGCTTTTTGTTTTGTTCTGTTTTTTTTTTTTTTTATTTTTAGCTTAAGGAGAAATGCTCCTGGCTTGGCCAGAGGCTTTGCAGTGGACACTCAGCTTCTCTCCTGGAGGTTCAGCTCGAGGGGAAGGATGAATGAATGGGAATGCCCCATGCGCCAGGCCAGGGTTCTGCTCAGAGGATTCTATTACTCCGTCATAGAAAGCTCTACTAAGGTGGCATGGGCGAGCCAGCTTGTCTGGTTCCACTGTGTATTATTTGCATGTCCCTGACTGCTTGGCTGTCTGATAGGGTAGGTTTATCTCCACAAGAGTGGATCTGTCCCCTGGGAGGGTGACTGTAACCGGAGCAGGATCTGAACTCGGCCACAGACAACATTTAGTATGCATGGGTGAAATCAGGAGGGTTTTCTGTCTACACGGTACCATTACTAGAGGGAAAACCATCTTGTGTCCATCTCGGTCACCTGTGCTGGACCTCCAGCCTTAAAGACTGATTCTCAGGCACCTAGCAAGGTAAATATGAACTTTTTTAGGTGTTTCCTAACAGTGAAAAGAGAGGCTGAGTGGACATTCTGAATACCGCACGGCTAGTGAGTACCAGAGCCCTGAAGCAAGCCCAGTCCCTAATTCCATGTCTTACTCAGAGTTATCTACAGTGTATGTGCGATTTTTGTTTTCTAGGGGAGTTTGGCACAACTTCTGTTTGGACTGTATGATTCTCCCACTTCTAGGCAGTCAGCAAGTGGACACAATGTACCAAAGGGTCAGGGTAAGCTGGTTTTGGTTCAACCAAAAGGAGTGTTTGGAAGCTCCGATGTGGCTACAGTGTTCTAATGGGGTATGCTGTTGGTAGGTAGGTCCTGAATGCTCACCTGAAGTTCATCTTCTGGTAAGGAAAGCCATATATAGTCAACATGCTAGCATCAGTGGTGCACACTGTAGCATGTTTGAGAACTGAAACTTGGAGCTAAGCATCTCCACTAAGGATGTGAGCTGATGTAGGAGATGAGATTAAAGACAGGGCTGGGAGATGACCGACACATCCTCTCACCCTCCAGGACGTACCAGCTCTATGGTATTTCCTCAAGGAATGGGAGGGCAGGTTCCATTTGCTCATCAGTAAAATGAGAATTATAGCTACTGTTTTCATCAGTGATGGAACAAGAGTAATGAGACACTTGTAGCTGCAGACTGAAAGGCCCCTTCTTCATTAGATGTCTGTCTTTCTAGGTAGCATGAGTTGACCCTGCAGTGGTGTCTGGATGTTTTCAGGATGCTACAGTTGATAGTCATTTCTATTGCTGTGACTGGATACCATGACCACGGCACCTTGTATAAAAGGAAGTGTTTAACTGGGACCTTGCGTACAGTTTTAAAGGGTTAGACCATGCTCATCACCGTGGGAAGCAGACAGACATGGTGCTAGAACAGTAGCTGAGAGCATTACATCCTGATCCACAGGCAGGAGATAGAGGCTGGGCTAGCCCACTCCTGGGGACGCGCTTCCTCCACCAAGGCCACACCCACTCGTTCCCATGAACAGTTCCATAACTGGGGTTGAAGCACTTAAACATCTGAGCCTTTGAGGGGGGGGCATTCTCATTCAAACCACCACAATATTTATTTATTTTGGTGCTGGAGGTTGAACCTGGTGCCTTGTGCATGCCAAGCATATTCTCTACCACTGAATGATAGCTCAGTTGATGTTTGTTGATGTTGCTGTAGTCGTTTACTTGTGTGTATGGTACTTTTCACCTGCATGTATGTCTGTGCACCGTGTGTGTACACTGCTCAGAGATATAAGAGGAGGGTGTCAGATTCCCTGGAACTGGAGTTACAGATGGTTGCAAGGTTGATATAGTCATGTGGGTGCTGGGAACTAAAGCCTGGTCCTCTAGAAGAGCAGCGAATATACTTAACCATGAACCTGACACAAATCCTGCGCTTTTGATCTCCCACTGATTTTACTCCATTTGGGGGATCTTTTCAGGGATATCTTGGTCTCCACAAACTAACAGAGTATCCAGACCTAGTCAACAACACCAGGCCTCCAGTCTGACCTGGGGATGACACTGGCTAGCACTTGTCTCTAATTGAATTCTTCTTGCGCGACTCAGATGTGGTCACAAAGATTACTCCTGAGCCTTAATTACTAACTTTTATTAGGTGCCTACACTGGTTTGCCCATCAGTTTCACTATTCTAGCCCTCAGGGCTGGCCATGCAGGGATCAGCGGGATGAATGTGTCTGCAAACAGCAGAAGGGCAGACCCGAGTTGTCAGTGACCAGAGTCAAACCACCACCGAATACTTTTGCTCATTCCTTCTGGTTTCCTTAGCAACAGTGCATAGAGAGCCTGCTCTGTGTAATCACTACTGTCAGGCAGAAGTGATGGAAGTGATTTTTAAAGATGGGCAAGAAAGATCCACACCAGAGTGGGGACCAAACCAAACAGCAAACCATAGTGAAGTCAGACCAGTGGGTTCAAGTTCCGTCTCTGCTAGCTGCAACCTGTGGGCTCCTGGGACAGTCACTTATCCTCATCATGCCTCAGCTTCCTTGTCTGGAGCTCACAGTTGTGATGAAGGCTAAATAGAGTAGCGTATGCTAAGACCAATGCTGGCATGCGGTAGAGCTGCCTGTTACCGTCTACTAGTGGTGCAATGGGTAGGAAGCAAATCCTAAGAAGGAAAACTGAAGGCTGTGATAAGGGCCCTGAGGCAGTGTGAAGTAGGGGACGTGGGGCCAGAGATAGAAGGAGAAGTCTTCTGCTGGCCAAGGTACTCAAGAAGTGGCTGTCTAACTAGCTGGAAGGGAGCTGAGACTCGCCGTGTGAAAGGGAGTGTGGGGGTGTGGAGTAGTAGTCCAGGAAGAAGGAGGAGCGTACCCAAAGGCCTGGGATCTAGAAGAAGCATAGCCTCCTGAAGAAACTGAAGACCGAGGACTCTAACTAGTAGGAAGTGAAGGGCTGGGCCTGCAAGGACCTTGCAGGACCCAGCAATGCTTCGGATTTGGCCCCAGGGGTAGTGGGCTGAGGGGTTTATTTCAGGGAGGGCTGTGATCTTTCTGAAGCTCAAGCTAGAGAAGAGATTGTTGGAGGATGAGAGTGTTCATTGATACAGATGACCGGGGAAGGCAAAGGTGATTTGGACCCCCTGAGACTGTGAGCTGCGGACACAGCCTGCATCGAGAATGGCCCCCAAAGGGCCATTGGCCATGGTGCTAAAGAGAAAGTGGAACGCTTAAGAGGTGGTACCTACTAGAAGGAAGACGGGCCACTGGGGATGTAACCTTGCAGGGGATGTTGGAACTCTCATTCTGTCTCTCTTCCGCTTCCTGGGCGATTATAGGCATGCAGCTAATAGTGATTATTCTTGACTGTTAGCTTGATGGGAGTCTAGGCGACACCTGTAGGTGTGTTCTGTGAGAGCATCTCCAGAGAGGTTAAACTGAGATGGGAAGATCCATCTTGAATGTGGGAGGCACCTGCCAGCCCTTAGGCTGGGACTCAGACTGAATAAGAAGGAGGAAGGAAGTGGAGTGCAAGCCTCACCCTTCTCTACTTCCTGGCAGCAGACACAGTGTGACCAGGCACCTCCCGCCGCCACGTCTTCCCTGCCATGGTGGTGGGCTGCACCCTTCTTAGGTAGCTTCTGTCAGCTATCTTGTCACAGCGGTGAGAAAAGCAGCTAGTACACTGCTCTTGTGGGATTCCGTGCTGCCACAGCCACAGGCCAAGCTGGCTAACATACCAGCATTTTGATAGCACTATCCTGGTGGCAGAGTTGGTGGAACTCACTGGGGAATTAAACTGTTATTGGTGGGGTCTGAGTTGGGCAGGGAGCCCCCTCATAGGGCATCCTGCAGTGGAGAGTGGGGCACCAAGACTAGGGCAAGTGTAGGGATTCCCGCTATGTGGTTCTGATGAGGAGCAAGAGTGAGCTGAACACCAACAGCCGGAGGCCCCACCCAGCCAGAGGTTCAAATCCTTGTGCTCCCCAGGGCCTGGCTTGGACACAGTGATGGATGTGGCTCCCCAGAACAGCAGCCAACAAAACTTTGTTTCCAGTTTTCCTAGGAGATGAGCCTACAGTAGACAAAGTGATCTCATCCATACGCAGAGAGATCCGTGGTTGAGGGGAGGAAGGGATGAGGGGATGCAGAACCCGATCCCGATTTCTTTCCATCCTCCTGTCTCCTGGGGTGGAGTTTGAAAACAGAGGGGCAAGGTCTGTGTGTCCTCTGACAGAAAAGTCTTTTTTAAAAAACATTTACCTATCATATGGGTTTGTGTATGTGTGTGGACAAACACGTGTGCCACGCATGTGGAGGTCAGAGGATAACCGCAGGAGCTGGTTCTTTCCACCATGCAGCTTCTGGAGATCAAATTCAGGTCTTCAGATTTGGTGGCAAGAGCCATGAGCATCTCACCTGCTCCGTGACGAGGGGATTAAGATATCCAGGAAGTAGGCACAGAAAGGTGCCCACTTCCTTAAGAACAGAACTGGACAGGAAGTAACAACAAGGCCTGCTCAAGCCCACCAAACCACTGGGGCTCCAAGAGGCTGGCCTCCCATGATGAGGCAAGAGAAAGAGGTCTAAAGCGTCAGAGAGGGGGTGCGATGGGGGAAAAGAGAAACTATGGCATATTTTCTCTCTCATATAGAATCTAGATTTAAGTATGTATATGTGTGACACACACGCAGAACTGGACTAACACACATGACATGTGACCAGAACAGGGGCTATTTGCAGGGGGAAAGGGGACCAGTGAGAGTTGGGGGAAAGGAACACAGGTCAGTGGGTGCAGTGATTTGTCTGTGTGGAAATGTCATAATGAAACCCATTATTTTCTATAATAACTTAAAAAATAATTTTAAAAAGTTAAAAAACAAAACAAGACACGAGGCTGTCTTCTTAGAATTCTGTACTGATTTAAAGCTCCATCCTTAATTAATCCTTCTAGTATCTGCCAGAGAGCTTCACAGCCACACCCCCTCTGAGGCATAGTAAGCCAGCAGGTGCCTGCTTTGTCAGACTTATCCATTTCTGTGGCCCTGTGAAATGCATGCTTGGTATCATTGCTATTGCTTAAAGAATTGCTAACTGTGTCTGTATGTGTAGATAAACTGAAAGCCTTGTGGGGAGTGAGAACATTTTTTGAAGAATAAAGAGACCTGGGTGGGTGGGGGAGATATGAGGCTGGCCTCCAGGGCATGAGGCTTGCAGCCCCAACCTTCTTAGTTTCTAGTCTTTGCAGATCCCACAGCAGGGGCTAACAGGTGGTACCGCCACCTCCCTGCAAGATGAAGTCAGCAGCGAAGCTTGCCTACAGGGCTTATTATTCTTGTGTTATAGATGGCCTTGGAGAATGAATGAGAGTCCCCTTGGTCTCTCACTGTGTACAGTCAGCTCCCATATTGCAGAGGTGGTTTGATTTACTACAAGGAAGTAAATCTGATTCAAAGTTTGGGTTTGAGTTCCCCACTCTTCCTGTTGGAGCCCTTCCCAACCCGTCTCTTATTTTTGTATTTGGAGTTTCCTGGTTGCTTGGATTCTGCAAAGATGTATATCTTTTCTTACAACCTTCTTTAAACTTGGGGCTGAAGATTGGTTGAGTGGTTAAGATCCCTTGATGATCTTCCAGAGGACCCTGGTTCAGTTCCCAGCATCCAGCCTACAACCCCCTTTTAAGTCCAGCTCCAGGACCTAATGTCCTCTTCTGGCCTCCAAGGGCACTTGCAAGCATATGCACACACACATACACACATGTTCTCTCTCTCTCTCTCTCTCTCTCTCTCTCTCTCTCTCTCTCTCTCACACACACACACACACACACACACACACACTTTTTTTTTAAAGTCTTAAAAAACTAACCCAACTTTCTCTACATTCAAGAACACATCACTAGATTCCCCTGGCTGCAGCTGCCCCTCAGTGGCTGGAAAGCAGGATGGGTGGTTTTTTCCCTGGGCACTTGCCTTCCTCACCCTGGTGGTTTCCGGATGAGCCTTACCTAGGTGGAACCATTGGGCGACGCTCTACAAATTCTCGTAGTCGGATGGCTGTCATGATAGATGGGAATCTGAAAAGAGGGAGTGAAATTTCATACTGCAAGGTTACACAGTTTCCAGGTATTAGCCATTGCTACAGTTTGGATGCAGATTGTTTCCAGAACACAGGCCCTCCATAGGCAGATGGACCTGGGCTGTATAACAATGGTGGCTGAAGCTGAGCCTTTGGGAGCAGGCCAGAAAGCAGGGTGCCTCCATGGTCTCTGCTTCAGTTCCTGCCTCTAGATTCCTGTCTTGAGGTCCTGCCTTGACTTTTCTCCATGATGGACTGGAGCCGGGAAGCTAAATAAACCCTTTCCTCCCGCAAGCTGCTTTTGGTCAGTGTCTTACCACAGTATCTGAGAAGCAAGCAAACTAGGCCATTCTGCAAACAGCTTCCTGGTTCTCCTGGCGTTGTCCCCCGGGCTTCCTCCAGCCCCACCCAAACCTGACTGTGTTCCTTTTAAAGCTCTCCCTTCTCAGCATTGAGTCTTTTTCTGTTTTCATACTCGCCTTAAACCATTTTTGCCTTAGTTTTTTTTTTTTAATTGCCTTTGATTATTTACTAACTACCACAGCTTGCCATACAAACCAGTACATTTAAGCATTCATGTGAGCAAACCCATAATGGGACTGAGCGGGTGGGAGACTGAGGTGGGAGAGTGTCTGCTGTTGCTAGAGTACCACTGTGTACCTCGTAGATGGCTCACACTGGGAACAGGCTGTCCACTCTACACAAAGAGAGCAGTGTCTAATTTGCATGAACATGGCAGCTTGAGGGAGCAGGCGAACTTTGGCTGGAAACCCCTGTGGCCTGAGCAAGTTATTTCTCAGCTCTGTATATTGATTAAATGACCTCTCTGTAGGGTTCACTGAAACAATAATGTGTGGGCATGCTCTGTGACTTAAAGTCACGCTTGAGAAGGGAGAATATGAGTTTATTTGTGAGCCTGTGTAATATGTACCAGGGAGCCCACTGCAACTAACAGCATCCTTGAGGAAGGTCTGCAAAGCACGGTGGCTGTTTTCCTCATAAGAACACAGACGCTCAGATGTTAAATAACGTGAGTAAGTTAGAAGGGAGCCAGGGTTGGAATCCTCAGGCTCAAGAACCATTCATCTTAATGACGGAGTTGCACCAAAGCAAGCCAGAGCAGCCAGAGACCTCGGCCAAGCAAAGCTGGGGCTGTGCAAAAGGAACCAGGAGGAAAGAGAAGCCATCAGCAGCAAGAGAGGGTTGGGGAGAAAGGTATGTGAAGCCTCCTCTTTTCCATTTATAGTCAAGTTTAACTCACCCCCAGGCTCCCGCCAGCTCTATTTTACCTCTCTGTGGGTTTTTCAAACCAGCTTGAAATTTCTCAATAGCATTATATCGTAATAGAGTGGCTGGTGATACATCCTGCGTAGCCTGTTTATTACATAGTATCTTTTTCCCCAAGAGACCTACTTTAAAATTTTTAACTAATATATGCTAACTGCACATATTAATGAGGTTCAATGTACCTTTTCCATACATGCCTACAGTGTGTGCTGATCAAATCTAAACCCTGTCTTTTCCACACCCGCTCACCTTCCCCAATCTCTATTCTACTGTCAGGCCAACTTTGGTTCTTTAAGAGGACACGTTCGTTCTCATCCTCCTGTGTCTGACTTAGCTCACTTCCTCCCCCGTCTAGTTCCATCCATTTTGCTGTATGTTATCTGATTCTGTGTGTCTTGATGTCATGACTGCGTCATGTCCATAGTCACACTTCTCCATCCACTCCCCCAGCGCTGGGCACCCGTGCTGAAGGGGTGTCTCAGCCACTGTGAACGTGACTGTGACACAGAGATGTGCAAGTGTCTGTTCCATTGGCATTTTCGCCTTTAGCACTGCTGTGTTTTTGTTGTTTAATGGAAGAATGAGCAAAAGAAAATTTAGGTAAGTGCAACTGAGCTCTTGAGAAATCAAACTCCAAAAACTGAAGCGTTGAGCTTTGTACTTTCCCCTGCAATCTGCTGGGGAGGAAGCCAGCTTAGCACATCGCCCTCTTCCCTTACAAGCCAAGGCTTAGTGCCTAGAAACTGTGAATCAGCATTATGGGAAAGAAAACTGTCATGGGCTGTCTTGCTTTGACCAGGCTACCCAAATAAGCAGTTCTGGAACAATATATTAAAGTCTTGCGGTCACTGGGGGCCTAGGAAGGGAATCTTGAAATTGTGGCCACGTTTTCATCTCTCTATCCCTAGCCACCACAAAGCATACAGATCTATTTTTAGATTTAATGTGTACATGTATACATGTATGTGTATGTCCCTCATGGTCATGGGTATCTGTGGAGGCCAGAAGAGGGTGACAGATCCCTTAGAACTGTAATTAGAGGTGGGCGCTGGAGACTGAGTGTGGGTCCTCTGCAAGACAGCACCCCTTATCCACTGAGCCAAAGGCTCCAAGCAATGAGACCAATCTGTCACAGATTAAAACCTTTACATCTGTGACTGTGAGGAGACACCATGGCCAAGGCAACTCTTTTTTTTTTTTTCCGAGACAAGGTTTCTCTGTAGCTTTTGGTGCCTGTCCTGGAACTATCTCTTGTAGACCAGGCTGGCCTCGAACTCACAGAGATCCACCTGCCTCTGCCTCCCGAGTGCTGGGATTAAAGGCGTGTAACACCACCACCCAGCTAACCAAGGCAACTCTTAAAAAATGAAATCATTTAATTGGGAGCTTGCTTACAGTTTGAGAGGGTTAGTCTATGACCAGTCATGACAGGAAGCATGAGAACAGGCAGGCTGCAGCAGTAGTCGGGAGCTCACATGGTCCTCAAGTTGCAGGCAGGGAGAGAGCCTGAGACTGGGCCTGGTGGGGGCTTTTTGGTCCACAAAGCCCACTCCTTGTGACATGCCTCCAACAAGGCCACACCTACTCCACAAAGACCACGCCTACCCCAACAAGACCACACCCACCTGACAAGACCACGCCTCCTACTCCTTCCTTAACAGTCCAACCAACTTGGGACTAAGCATTTGAATGCATGAGTTTATGGAGGCCATTCTTCTTCACAGAGAGCCAAAATATAACTCTTACAAGATTCTTCAGAACATCCCAACTAGAGAACTGTTTACATTCTAAAAGAATTTTTAGGGCCAGAGATGGCTCTAGGGTTACAAGAGCCTGCTGTTCTTGCAGAGAATCAGAGTTCAATTCCTAGCACTCAGGCAGCTAAAATTGCCTATAGCTGCAACTCCAAGGGATCTGATACCCTCTTCTGGTCTTGTTGGATGGGTACCTGTACTCATGTGTACATCCCACACACAGATATACAGACATACATAAAATCTGGGCTTGGGACAGAATTCTTGGCTTTTCAAAGAACCTCAATCATTAAGTCATAAGTTGTGAGCACCTATTAAAATATAACCCTCACCAGGTAGTATTGGTGCATGCACTCAATCCCAGCACTTGGGAAGCAGAGGCAGGCAGATATCTGAGTTTGAGGTCAACCTGCTCCATGGAGTGAGTTCCAGGACAGTTAGGAGCTAGCACTGCACAGAGAAACCCTGTTTCTTGAAAACCCAAAAAGCAACCCTCTATTTAGTAATACAGCCACTGAGTGAGGGAGAGGCACAGGAAGTAACAGCCTTGCTGGCATTACCGGCTTTGGCAGCAGTGGGCAGGGGCCTCCTTGTTCTTCAGAGAAGTCCTTCTCTGAGGGCAGCAAGCATTTGAGTCACCTCCCCATGTGGGGTGTGCTGCAAAGGCACATGGCAGAGCTGTGAGATTTGATCCTTTTACATCATTCAAAGGGGATTATGATGCCCTCTGGGGTGGAAAGTTTTGCTAAGCAACGCCTTTCAGGCTGAGGGAAAGAGAGTTTTGAAAGTCTTGAACAGAAAACATAGCTGTGCATTAAATGAAAGGACAAGAATTGGTGTCAAAGGGAAAACCATACAGGTGAGTGACCCAGACGATCAAATCACTAGAACTCGCTTTTCTATAAACATTGCTCCAAAGGTAACATAAGGTCAAGGATCTGGTGCTGTGTATATGTCCCTTGCAAGTTGGAAGGGACAACCCCTGGTAAGCAGGGTTGGCACAGGGACAAAGGATCCCAGCACTGCCTGGTCTAAAACGACAGTTAAGCTTCAGAAGCCTGCTGTTACTAAAGCCATCGAGGAGGCTTTAATTGTTCAGGATTATGATCCCAACCAATCTATAGACCATCACAATAGCACAGAAGCGCAAGTCACAATTGGAGAACAGAATGGTCGTTCAGACCCAGCTATAGCAAATTTCTAAGACCAAAACAAACACTGGCATTGTCTACCATAGATTGGTCTGGAAACAGGGCACTTCTCAATCAAATAAAGTTTGCAAGTAGGAAGTGAAGTATTTCTGTGAGGCTCCAGATGGCATGTAGGGGAAGCCTGGGCCAAGGCTGGGCTCCCCCTGGGAGCTTAACCCACATCACCACAACACAATCTAATACCAGAATCTTGGTGACTGTATTTTGTTGAAAGCAGACAACCATGGAAAATGTAAACACAAGGACAAAGCAATGTGTTGGACCAGGGGAGTGGAGGTGGAACGTTTAGTCTCATTAGGGAGGAAAACCCTCTGTGTCTAAGCTACCTGACACCTAACCATCCCTGTGTCTGCTGTGACCAGAGAGCCAAACATCTCCATTTAGAAGAACTAAGAGAAGCTGAAGAAATTGACTGTGGGGGCCCACAGAAGTGAATCCGGTCCACCTTGACTGAAGGTCAGAGAGTTCAGACCTGTTCTTGTTCCTTCAAGGTTATATTACAGGAAGTTTGATCGAAGGTGTGGCTACTGACGTTTGACCTAGGGTGTGGTTACTTGATGTTTTGGATATTAAGAAGGTGATTACTTTGTTTGTTCTTTGTATCTTGGTAAAAAAAAGTCTTTTGCCTTTTCCCCTTCCTTTTGGATTGAGGTATATAAAGGCTATGAGAAATAAATATGAGGTGAATCTCAGTATTTACTGGATGCCCTCCCAACTCTGTCTGGTGTCTCTTGTCTATTTCTTTCTTAATCCATACTCTTCCCCCCAAGCACCGACGAATACGTCAGGCGGGACCCGGCACTTAACCAGAAATAATAAGATAGGGAAGTCAATCCAAATCAGTTTGACTTGTAAGTCCAGTTTTAATTAGCATTTGAACTAAAATATATCAACCTTTCTTTCCCATTATTTGAGACAGGGTCTCTTATATCTCAGATCTCAGGCTGGTCGTGAGTTTACTGCGTAGCTGAGGATGACCTTGAACTTCTGTTGGCAAGTCTGAGGTGTGGGGTGCTTGAAGGTGAGGTCACAGACCTCTAACTATACCTTAGCAAGATCAGATGCTCAGCACGTGCTCTACTGAAGGTGGGACCTCGGCTGTGTCACATCCTCCTGCACTGAGTCCCTCCACTTGGGACAAGAGGCTCCTCTGTTTTGATGTCACCTTTAGACTAGGTGCGTGGAGAAGTGAGGGAGGAGGCCTGAGGAGGGACAGGCAACCAGCCATGGCTGGCTGGCTGCATTTTCAAAGTTGGTGAAAAGAAAGGGTGTTTGCAGATAGCAGGGGAGGGAATCCCAGCACAGCCACTCCATCCTAGAATGAATTCTGACTGACTAGGCACCAAGACACTATGCACTCCCCCAATAGCAGCCATGATTAATGATCGTGAATATGCCTACTAGTCTCTCTGGGTTGAAGACTGTGCATTACTCCAGTGTTCCTCCATTTTCTTATATTACCTGAATTGTGAGAACATGTGTTGTTTTTAAGACACCCTCCCCCATTTATTTAGTGGGGAGGGGGCCTGCAACCTGTATGTGGAGGTCAGAGGTCAGAGGTCAGAGGACAATGTGCAGGAGTCCATGCTTCCCTTTCACTTTTATGTGGCCCCAGGGATCACACTCAGGGCTTCGAATTTGGACGCAGGCGCCTTTCTCCACTGAGCCATCCTGCCAGCTTAAGGGCATGTTTAAGGGTTCTGTGCAAACGAGAACAGTCTCTGAGCTCTCCCATCACCATAGGATGCATTAATGAATTAAGATGTCTCAAGCTAGCAAGCCACCAGCATGTGCTGGGGGAACTCATTTAATGATGAGGCTTCCAAACTTGAAAATCTGAAGGAGGGACGTGACAATTGCTTCAATGCTAATTTCCGTCATTAACCTGACTGAATTTGGAATCTCCAAGGAGACACACCCTTGGGCGTGTTTGTTGGGGTGTTCCAAGAGAGCTTTAATGGAGATGGGAAAGCACCCTGAATGTGACTGACACCGAGTCACAGGATAGGGTCCCAGGCAGAATCAAAGTGCCAAGTGGAGAAAACCAGCTGTGTGCAGCATCTGTCTCTCTCTGCTTCCTGACCATTGACAGGAATGCGCCCAGCCGCCTGGCGCTCCTGCCACCAAGCCTTCTTGCTGTGATGGACCATATCTCCTCAAACCATGAACCAAAATAAACCGCCCCTTAGTTGTTCATACATTTGTCATAGTGATGAGAAAATGTCCAACACTGAAAAGCTGAAAGACTACATTGAGAAGTACAAGGAACAGTAGGCAACCTTTGACTTTCTTTTACCAGTCTTTGATTTTTGCCACATTATATAATCTGCCTTTTCATTCTGGAGGTCCAATCCAGTGCCTCTCACATGCCAAGTGTGTGCTGTACCACTGAACTATGTCTCCAGGCTTCCCCTCACCCCCTTTTTGTCATCTGACAGTTTCATTTATACCATACATGTATGTGGTACATTCTGAGCACTTACCCCTCAGCCCTCTTAACCCTTCCTTCCCCCATCAGCCTCCCTCCCCATCCGCCTCCCTCCCCATCAGCCTCCCTCCCCATCAGCCTCCCTCCCCCATCAGCCTCCCTCACCCATCAGCCTCCCTCCCCATCAGCCTCCCTCCCCATCAGCCTCCCTTCCACTTTCATTTCTGCTTGTTTTGTTTTGTGAACCACGGAGTTCGAGAATGATCTTCACATCATCAGCTGCTGTGCTATTTTCAGGGTGGCTCACTGCTGGGTAGCAACGAGACTCAACTCTCAGGGGAGGTCTGCTGATGTCCTGAACCACCAGGGTGAAAGAGGAAAATGTCACTTTAACTCCACTACAGACTAGTCTCTGAACTCTGCAAACACTCCTGCTGAAGGAAGAAAGGTGACCTGCATTTGTCAACAGTAGCAGCTGCAATCAGCCAGTTAACCCTAAAGGGCAGATCCTAGCACAAATACACCAGTAAAAAGAAAAACCCCAAGACAAGGTGTCTTCTCCAAAAATGATCACTCCTATGTAACCCCAGTGAGAGCCCCTGAAATGAAACTTCAGACAGAGAAATAAGAACACATATAGGGGCTGGAGAGATGGCTCAGCAGTTAAGAGCACTTACTCATCTTGCAGAGGACTGGGGTTCCCATCACCCACATGCAGCTTACAACTGTCTGTAACTCCAGTTTCAGGGAATCTGGTGTCATCTTCTGGCCTCCTCCGGCACCAGAGGCATGAAGTGATGTGCATAGATGCAGGTGAGACACTCATACTCAAAAAAATAAACATTGTGTCCCACAGGACTTGGGTCTGGAAACCTGACTGGGGCAGCAAGGGAATGAAGAAAGGTCAGACACACAGACAGATGTACATAAAAGCGGGGGTCAGGTGGGCTGTACACACTCTGAGGGAGCAGTGCCCACTGTGTGAGAACTGGGAACTTCAGCGCGGGGTGGGGGTGGGGTGGGTGTAGCTAGTTGATCAGTAGGTCTCTGTAGGCTAGAGGAGGAAGCCGGGATTGCTAGCTCTTGCACACACAAGTCGATCATTTGTTAGTACTTGTACCTGCATACACTGCTACCATGTGCACTT